CAGGGCATGGGCTGGGCTGGTGTGGGACGCAGGATGGAGCTGCAGGAAGGTTGTGAGGGGGGCAGGGAGGGGGGCCAGCTCCTGCTGCTGCTCTTACCCCTGGGGGAGTCACAGGGGGCACGTGCCCCCCAGATTTGTCTGCAAGGCACAGGTAGGCTGCCCACTGTGGGCTCGAGGCCATGGGCTGGGCTGGCCTCTTCCTGGTGTAGGGGTTGGGCCAGGGCTGTGAGTGGGGCAGGGTGGGTGGTGGGGAGGGAGGGGCTACTCTGAATTTTTGGGTTGGCTATAGCCCACCCTGAACCCCCCACTCCCAGTGCCACCACCTGCCCTGCCCCCACCCATCCCAAGCATAGCCCCAGCCCAGCATCCCTGCTGGGAAGAGGCCGGCGCAGCCCCTGGCCCTGAGCCCACAGTGGGCAGCCCACCCTCACCCCACATACAGATCTGGGGGGCATATGCCCCCCATGCCTCCCTTGGTGAGCGCAGCAGTGGGGGCTGCTCCTCCTTCCCACCTCCCAGACGAGCTGCCTTCAGCTCTGTCCCACACCGCACCCCATCTTGGCTGGTTAGCGCCTCCTGCCCCAATCCCATTCCCTCCCTCACCATGGGGGCCTTAATCTGCCCTGCCTGATGCCTTATCCTTCCTATAAACTTACTGGCCGAACGCTGCTCTCCAAGCTGCCTGGCTGCATTCCTGCCCACGTGCATGGCAGCTGTGTGCACGCATGTGGTATTTATTGGTGACATTATTGGGTACACAGGCCAAGAAAACCAATTGCCAATAATATCAATTTTCCTTTTATCTGTGCTAATCCGATATGGACAGATATATCAATGCACCTCTAGCTATTAATGGTTTGGGGAATGCCGTGTGCAGAGAGAGAGATCCTGGCCCTTTTGAGGTCTGTAGCAAAATTCCTATGGACTTCAAAGGAGCCAGGATGTCACCATGATCTCTAACCATTCTTTTTATACCTTGTCACAGAGGGCCTCTGAAGTGACATCTTTGCAGTGTTTCCCCTGAGCTATAATTAGTGGCCAGATTCCACCTATGTTGTCATTGCTAGAGACAGGGTTGCTAACATTGATCACCAGTGTATGACCTTGGAGTTATAATGTCACTGTAGCCTTATGGTTGCACTGCCAGTTGTCTTACAGTTACATTGTCAGCATATATATATCATATGGTATAATTCAGACTGTTATAGGCATTGATAAACTAGTAATAGTGCACTTAAATAATTTAGCCAATTCTTTTCAGCGATAGATGACATTGTTTCCATAGTAAAGGAAAATGTGATACTTAAAAATTCTTATTCAGGGTTCTTTGATGCATTTTCTTCAGTATGAATGTATTTTTAATTTCTATAAGCACTCTTGAGTAGCTTCATTTCGTGAAGCTGTTACTATTACTGAAAACTCTTGGCTAAACTATTATACCAGCAGGAAGCTTTGTTGGATTGCATTCAGCGTGCTACATTAGTCGTAGAATCGATATTCTGAGGGAGTTGGTTTAATAGAACTGAAAACTATTTTTGGCTGTTGTAACAGATTTTATTTTAAAAAAGGGAGCATAGTTACTAAAATAATAGAAATAATGCCATAAAATGGGCAAAAACGTTGCTCCTCAAAAATATTGAGTCATTCTTTTCATGCAGCAGAGAAATATAGAGCAGAGCAATGTACACATAACTTATTTGTCTCCAATCTTTTTTTCAGGCTGAGGTATGCTCTGGAACAGTAGCAGAAGTAATCCAGTCTGTTGTGAATGGTGCAGATGGTTGCATATTTTGCTTTGGTCATGTCAAGCTTGGTGAGCTCCCAAATTCGTTACAGTTAATTACTATGTCAGCCTGGTAATTACATGCTGTCAGCTCCTGGAACAATAAACCTGGAGTATATGAATAGATTAGAATTTCTTTTTAATTAGCTTTGCAAACTTATTATGGTTTATTTCTATACTGGGACCCTAAGTTTTAATTTGAAAAGGTAAAATGTAACATCAGATTAGCTTATTCAGGAACAAGCTTTTTATAGGTGTATTGTGATGAAAATCAAAAGATCAGAGATGCCTTTAAAAATTAATTTGCTTTGGGTCCGAGTTACAAAAATGGCAAAATTAATTGAATAAATACTGACTGATTAATAATTAAATATTTACAAAGTATTTTTGCATCTGTTACCTCCAGTTATCTGTATATCACATGGTATTATGTATAATGGAAACTGGCAACTGCATAAGGAGAAACTGTTTTGTACATGAAAGATGAGTTAAGCTCACATTTGTCTTTCCTTTATAGGTAAATCTTACACCATGATTGGGAAAGATAACTCCACACAAAGCCTTGGTGTCATTCCCTGTGCGATTTCTTGGCTCTTCAAGTTAATCAACGAACGTAAAGAAAAAACTGGGACTCGTTTCTCTATTAGAGTGTCTGCCGTGGAGATCAGTGGCAAAGATGAAAACCTTAAAGATTTGCTAGCTGAAGTAGCCACCGGCAGCCTGCAGGATGGCCAGTCTCCAGGGGTTTATCTGAGAGAGGATCCGATATGTGGAACCCAGGTATAGAGGATGTCACTCCATAGGTTTCTGAGCTTGATTTTTTTCTGCTTTTATTTGACAACAATTATGACAATGTTTAAGATGGTAAAACAATTTATTGCCTTTAATTTATAATCCCCACTCCCATGGTGTACATATTTGTTTCACTTATCGCTCAAGAGACTTAGTCTGTGCAGCAAAAAAAACCCCCAAAAAACATTTGCCCGTTCTAATTAGTCATTTCCTTGTTTATATTCAAGCTTCAAAACCAAAGTGAGCTAAGGGCCCCGACAGCAGAAAAAGCTGCCTTTTTCCTTGATGCTGCAATTGCTGCCAGAAGTACCAGCAAACCTGAATGTGATGAAGAAGACAGGAGGAATTCACATATGCTGTTCACGTTTCACATATATCAGTATCGCATGGAGAAGAGTGGCAAAGGAGGAAGTATGATCATGCTCTCTAAATACAATTTTTAAAATATTACTTGGCTTTTCTAATTTAGATTAAAAAAAATGTGCAATAAATCCCCCACTAAAAACCCCAAGACAAAACTCCAGCCAATCACGAGCTGCCATTAAGTGTGGTTGTTGTGACTAATATCTGCTTTATGAGATTTGCATGTAGCCTGGCATAAATGTTTAATTCAGGCATCGCCCCACGCAGCATTCATTATTTCTGTCATTTAAGTAAATTCTGAATAGCTGATCTGGTTTGAGTCCATACGCTCACAGCGCATATATGTTGTCCTTGTTGTTTCTAGTGTCAGGAGGACGTAGTCGCTTGCATCTTATTGATCTAGGAAGCTGTGAAAAAGTGCTGAGCAAGAGTCGAGACGGAGGAGGTTCTCTGTGCCTGTCTCTTTCTGCCCTAGGCAATGTAATTTTGGCCTTAATTAATGGTGCTAAACATGTGCCATATAAGTAAGTGAATTATTTTGCATATCACCTTAAATGTATTAGCCAGTGTTGTATTTAAAATGAATTGTACCAAGGGCTTGCTGATGTCTTACACTAAACTTAAAAGAAGTTTTGCCATTCCTTTGTATAGGTGAAAGAACTGACCTCCAGTTACGACCAAGTTAAAAATGGATCCCATACTATTGCAGAAATAGTTTCGTATATATTTTTTATTTTACAACTTTGCCGGTTGGTCAAAAATCAGAGAAACAGAAATCAAAACAGTCCCCTCTTTTTTTTTAGGATGGAAAGTGCGTTGAGATTTCAGAATGTATCGGTTAGGTTTCTTTATATGCTGAGAACTTCAAAATTCAAATATGTCCTTTTTAGCATTTTATACCCATTTACCTTTCCTGTATGGAGAATAAGCACCTTCCTCTTTTTCCATTGTGGAAAAGTACATGTTCACTGGATGGAAGTGAGCATTGATGTCTGCTTTATAAAGTGTGCTTGATTGTACTATCATGTCAAGAGAGTGCACACCTGTAGGGGGCCCTGGCTAGCTACAGCCTGCCCACCATAGACACAACCAGCAGATTTTGGCTTTCTGTGCTTAAATTTAATTGCAGCTCACTATGAAGAGCTATAACTTAGTGCTTCATTTATCAATTATGTCATTTCACATATTTATCTGGTGCTGAGTCTGAAACAGGTGCTCCTTCATTTTATATTAGGTAAAAAAAAAATAAAAAGGTGTTTTCCTCAGACTAGTTGAGTGAATGCAATAGAATAGCAAATAGCCTGTCTGTAGGATTGTGCTCTCTTCTCAATTAGTGCACTTGAGATTGAGTCTGGACTTGGAAGCAACTCTGATACTCAAGCCATCAGGTGCAAGTCTGAGGAACATTTTGCAGAAGCTTTAGGGGTATTTTAAGTTGTACTGGTTGTTTATAGCTCCCGGAGGGGCTGTCCGGGTGGTGGTGGATGTCAGAACGTAGCAACTCCTCGGCTGTATTGCTTTTGGCCAAGGACTCTGCTGGCTGTATACCAACCAGTGGTTCTCTCTTACTGAGGAAACCCTTGGGCAGCCAGCTAAGCACCTGTTCCACCTGGTTTCTGCTGTTGCAGCAGTCGAGAGGCGGAAGAAGAGATAGGGTCTTGACCTTAAGACATATGTAAAAACTACAGCAAGCATCGCTGTGTACACCCTGTGGTAGTCTGTAACCTTATAGTCACACACACAAACATAGCAGGCTATAAAGCACGTGCGAGCAGCCACAGAAAGAGACTTCAAGTAGGTGAGCATGTCGAGGTCCTACTTTCTCCACTGGAAGGTAGCAATATCCAGTGGACTGCTGTGTTGCCACAGCTGAAGGGGGAGCTGCTTGGTGGACCTCTCCTCTTCTTCAGGCTTTCAATTGTGGAAGTGGGGTCTGAGCTCCCTCCTCTGTGTGGTTAGGAATAATGATTCCTGCATCTCTGCAGGGGGTTGGACCAGACCAGTGGGGGCCAATCATTTTGTCAGGTATGCCACCAATTGGCTCTGCACCCTCGCTGAGTGCCACCCTGATCCCCTTCCTCTGCTTGATCTGCTGCTTGGCTTCCTGCTCTTTGCCCAGTTTCCTGCTCTGCTTTCTGCTTCCTGCCCAATCTGTTGCTGTGGTAGTTGTCCCCTACCTTACTTACCACACACACAAGTTGCACATGTGCCATATATTGGCCACCTCTGTACTAGTCAACCCTTGAGATCACTTCCAGCCTTCTGATTCTATATTTCTACACAATAGAAGAGGGAGTTAGGTAGGCCAAAACCTAAAACTATCTTTAAGACCTAATAATATGTTTGTTAGGGCAAACTTGATTATGTCTATGAAGTAATATTGAGGTTTTTTCTTTTTACAATAACTGCTCACTGGTATTTCAGGGAGCTTACAGTGATGGTGCATTAGGAATACTAAGGGTTCATGAGAGAGGAAAAGATGGAATTTTGAGCTGTTTGGGTATACTAAGTAGTATCATGATGAACTACTATTAAATTGACTAATTCTTGGCATTGTCTGGAGAACAAACAAAATAATTTATACTAGAAGCTTGGTATTTTTGTTGCAAGGCAAGGCTTTTTTGTTATATCTTTTACTGAACCAACTTTACAGCTTGGAGAGTTGTTGGACAAACTTTTGGGTATCAGGGGCCCTTCCATGTTGATACAAGTTTTAAATACTTTTAGGTCATGTATATTTATGTTTGATTCCTACTTGTACCAAACATGAATGTACACCATGAAAATGGTTCTAAACTTCTGTAAAATAATTGTGATTATTGTAAGCCATCTCAGTATTCTCACTTGTTCCCTAGAGACAACAAGTTGACTATGTTGCTGAGAGAATCACTTGGGAATATCAACTGCAGAACAACGATGATTGCTCATATTTCCGACTCCCCGGCAAATTATGCAGAAACACTCGCAACAACTCAGCTTGCATCTCGAATCCACCGAATGAGAAAGAAGAAATCCAAGGTTGGTGCACAAGCGAGTTGCAATTAATTTATTTGAAAAATATTTTTTGTTAGCCTATGGTGGGGGATTTTGTGATTTTTAGACAATAAGCACTAGTACAAAACAGCTCAGCAGAGAAATTGCTAAACATGTTGGTAAAAAGCCATTGCTAGGCTACGTAGTTATTAATCCTGAAATTCCATTTTTGTGTTAAAA